CTGATATATACTGTGAGTTTGTCAATTACATCTGTCTCTGGCATGTCTCAAACAATATCAATATTGTTTGAGGCTCTAAAGCAGAATGACAAGCTTCACACCTGCCCATTTGGTCAGTTACCATCCAGGGAGCTGGTTCACTGAAACAACAACTTTCCCTTCATTCAAAATCCAACACTAATCATCATCATCTTCTTTTAATGACCCCATAATCCCATACGGGGTGGAGTCTGGGCAACTGAATGGAGCAACAGGGTATTTACTGGCTGGATGCCCTTCCTGTTGCCAATGTGGAGTTTTGTTCAGCAAATATATTCTCATTGTGCCCAATGAGGAAAAACAACACTAATGACACGGTAAAAACACAACAAAGATTCCCAGAAAGTCAGGATTTGTGCAGTAGGTAGGTCACAAGTTAACACCAGTTAATTTTGGCTACAGGGACAGTTGCAAGAAATAGATAAGAGCACCTTAGTAATATTGATCTTTTAGAACCAAGTAGATATTTTGAAACTATGTACATCTGTGAAAAATTATTGGGAATGCTTTTAAGTGTCCAGTTTCATTCAGGATTGTTTTTCATATTAAACTTCACACACACACACACACACACACAGTATTCAGCTTTGTTCAGGTATTTTCCCACATCATTGTAGTTGTACTTTTAAAGTTGTAGCAACGTTTCGGCAGAATCTCATCTGCCATCATCAGGCTTCTGTATAGTGTTCGTGAGTCAGACGTTCACAGCCGTTTCTGTTTTAAATTTGGTGCTAGCCTATGCTATGCCAGAATGGTTTTTTCTTCATCCTGATTGGTTGGGAGTCTTGGTCTGTGTTTATTGGTCTTGGAGTTTGCTGTGTTTGCTTGATTGGTGTTTCTAATATTAGAAGATAATAGAAACACCAATCAAGCAGAACACAGCAAACTCCAAGACCAATAAACACAGACCAACCAATCAGGATGAAGAAAAAACCATTCTAACACAGCAGTAGGCTAGCACCAAATTTAAAACAGAAACTGCTGTGAAGTCTGACTCACAGATGAACACAATACACAAGCCTGATGATGGCAGATGAGATTCTGACGAAACGTTGCTACAACTTTAAAAGCACAACTATAATGACGTGGGAAAATACCCAAACAAAGCTGACTACCATACATATAGATACTTGCAAAAACTTAAGAAAACACACACACACACACACACACACACACACACATAGACTGTTGACCCTGTTGACCCTCTCTGCTTCTGAATTCCATTATATTTGGACATACTGAAAAGAAATGAAAATAATATGTGCATTCTTTGTAGATAAATAACATGAAGGGGATCACCATACACATCTCTGTGATATATGCAAATGCTGGGATTTGGGTTATACGTTTTGCTAATTTTCCTTGACTATACTTGATAACTTTGTGCCTTGCTAGGGAAAAAAAAGACATCATTGTTCAATAATTATTTGAATGGTGACTGTATAAATGATGTGATTAGCTGAAATCACTGAGTGTATTAGAAATAAAGATACTTTAAAAACACTTCTAAGAAGTCATTTCCCCTCCTAATTTGCATAATAAACCTACTTGAATTTTGCAATCATTTAAAAACTAAGTCTCCAAAATTGGGATTGCTCTATCCATAAGAATAGCCCTGATACAACACAACATTTTAATCACAATTGCTCCCATTCTGAAAAGACCTTGAGTAATGGATAATTCAGCACTGGTGGGAATTCCATTTAATTTTTCATTAGGCTTATTTGAAAAGTTGGTTTTGTTTGTCCAAGATGTTGGGATGGATTTCCCAACACAAAAAGGATATAAAAATATTGATTATGGAAACTGGTCTCCCTTACAATCAAAATAACACTGCACAGCCCAGCAACAAAACAGAAGAGGATGGCCCCACAGCTGCCATGGCAGACCATACCAATCAGATTTCTAACCGCAACTAGGTTTATCTTAAGGTGCTTCCTCTATGCATGATTCCATGTCCATATGTTGGCGTATCACAGAGAACACCACTTTTACATTAGAACAGAGGGAAATTCAACCTGGAAATAAAGTAGAATTTCCTGATGGTAAGAACAATTAACAATGTAACAACTTGCCTTCTGAGTTGTGGGTGCTCCATTGCTGGAGGTTTTCAAGAGAAGATGGGACAACATCATGAAAATGTGCCTGCAATAAATGGTTACATGGGATATCTGTCCTGGGGCCACAAGGCTACTCAGAAGGAATCAATAATAGGCAATGCCCAGGGAACAAAAACCAAAGAATGTACTGTATTTGAATGTACTGCACTTGTAAAGCCAGATGCCTTATCATATTTTAGAGCAGAAGTAGAGAATTATTTATAGGACAGAGGCTGCAATTCAACTTTCCCAACTGGAGAAAGGACCAAGGTGGACCTGACAATATGATGACCTCATCATTGATCTTAAGGTTGGAAATTGACTTTGATCTCACATACACCTTACACCACTTCTGTTTTTTTTTAACGAAGAACATATGCAACCAAAATTAGTCTTTTCATAAACATTCCATCAGGATGCATCAAGATTGTAAATTAAAAGCTGGAAAGTGTTTGCAGCATATGGCCTTCAAATTGCTCACCCTTATTTTAGAGTAACTGCATAAATCAATTTACTTGCAATCAATAACTAAGTTACACATTTGGTCAAGCACTATTTAAAGATCCTAAAGACCAATGTTCTTTTAATATACTAGGAATGTCTACCAAGGAGTGCTATCTATTAAGCATTCATGTTTTCAGGGCAACGTTAGAACCAATTTAGAGTCACTAGTTTGGTGATATATATGTCTTTAATATGCTGAGAATCTACTAGGGAACAAATGGCAGGGGATACCGTAGATAGCACGCTACTCCTATAATACCTTTTGCTTAAATGCTGTGTCTGCAAATTCCCCTTTGGAGGGTGGGTTTTTTAAAAAAAATCAGACCATATATTATGAATTTTATTTTATTTAAATAAATCTTTAAAATGCTATTTGAGCATTAGTTGGTCTTTAAGTCTTCCCACCCACACCAGACCTTAACCCAATTCAAGGCAGTCCCATCACAATGTGGTCATCGTGTGTGGAAAGGTTGCAAATGAGAATTCCCCTTCTTGTTCCAATTTCTAGATGTAAATGACAGAAGGAGATATAGACAAGGGAAAATGGCCATTGTACACAGAATTCCAAGTAAAATCAATTAGCAGCTCATTTAAACTGCTTCTGCTTGTTTGCCTGAGATCTTGGTTTCATGGTCCTAGGTTACGGCAAAGAGTGCTTGGAGGGGGATCATCTACACATTCTCCTAGGCAGCTTATAGAGAGGCCTTTATTGTTTCTCTTTTCACTCCATCCCCTTTCTGGTTTAAGTCAGTTTTATATGTAATTGAAAAATAGTTGTTTTGCATTGACCACTCTGCTATTCAGTGAAGGACAATGAGCCATTGATAATGTCCATCCTCTAGCCAGCAAATGAGAAATTATCTAGAACTGTGTTTCTCAACCTTAACAATCTTCATAAATCTAGTTATCAAAAGTTCTCAAATACAATAAAAATATGGATCCACAAACAACTCTAGTCTCAAAATGGCACTTTAATCATGGTGTGCACCATCTTCCAGAGGGATTTTCTGCATAATAAAAACAATCTAGATGATTCAAAAAGAATTGTTATTGGTAGATTAGCATTACATTAACAAAAGCAGGAAAAGAGTATGGTACAAATGCCCGTTTATCATCAGATTTTAATAGATATTTTATTAATGCAACAACGCTATAATGCACAAAGATCAAAGTAGGCACCAAATGGTTTATTAGCTCAACTAAAGGAAAGCAGTACAGTTAATCAATGAACAAGGTTGTCATAATCCAGTAACTGGAAACAAAGTGAAAAATTTAAAGTAGCACTATTATTTTATAGGAAACTAAAAAAACCTCAGAAATAAACTGGAAAAGGTGCATTAGAGCATAAGAGTTTTAACATACCATCTGCTGACAAATCTTTAAACCTGACACATCAATACTTAGCTCTCCTCTGCAGCTGCCTCATGATGCAGAGAAATGGTGTGGCTGCTTTAAAATGATGCAAACAGCTAATGACACTCAAAGAGCCTTTTGGAATTTTAATGCAAAAGCTTAAGGTATTTTATTGCAATGAAAGTATGAATTCCTGAATTCCCATTAAATTTTTTTTTAAACACTTAATGCTGGATTTACGTGCACAAATGAGAAAGATAAGAGTGTAAGCTGTGAAATATGCAGATTTCAGGGTTTTATTTTAAAAAAGAACTGACTATAATAGATTAGGAAACAACATATTTTATTGAGGTTAATAGAAAATGATTAAGCGATCTATTTAAGCCACATTGATTTACATCACATTTTAAAGGGGAAACGTAATTTATTATTAGCCAAATTCTTACCAAATAGTCATTGTTTTTTCATACTTGTCTAGGATGGAAAGGGAAAGAATCACAAAAAAAATAATTAATTTGCACATTTTATTCTCTCAGACATATCTCTACATATACAACACTTGTCATTACTTTTAAATATATTTCTAAAGCATTTTTTCAAAAAAACTCAATATTTGTAATACTGGGAATAAGAAGCAATTATCTTTATTTCTGATACAAAGCAAGATAAACTGCACCTTCATTTCTCTCATAAAAGTTGACACTACTCCTTGCTTAAAATTCAAGATGTGTGAACATTTCCTATATTAGTTTAGAAGTTCAACAAATGTACTGTTTCTTTTTACGTCACTTCCAGATAAGCTGCAAAGGTCACATAATATATTTATATTTACTCCAGTATTGTTAATATCTCGAACCAGTTTTTAAGAATTAAGTAATTTTTATAAGAAATTTCATCACAAAGAAGTAGGATCATACAGCTGTCTTTTCATGAGTTTTTCTTCCAAACTGCATACTCAAGTGGTAAAGCAGAACACCTGTAGGTATTCTTTCACTTGTCATTTAAAAAAAATAGAGTCCAGTATTTCGGCCTGTATTTTTGTAAACCCTACACATAGGCATAACGTGTAAACTTAAGACACAAGGATAGGGATTTTTCACCTCATGGCAATGCAGCAGTTAAATGTGTAACCAGCAGAAGGCACTAAAGCTTTGATTCTAAATTTCTTACTCTTAAAACAAGCCTGTTTGTTTCAGTCATTTAATCCATTGTGAGGGATTCAAGGATTGTGGACTAGATTGAACTGAATCACACAAGTATAACATGGGGTGAGATGGAAACAAGTTTAACAAAGGGCACTTTAGAAAACCGAATTGTTCCCCATGATCACAAAGGAATGAAAATGGCATCTGTTTACATAAGTAACTCCCATAATTCACCCCTCCAGTACATTTAGACATGCAACGTTATACACTATGGCAACACAAACAGGAAGTGATTGGTTTGGGGCACCTTTGCTGGGTATTGTGAAGTGTTGTTTCATCCTTAGTGCACGTATGTCAGCTACCCAGCTACAATGGCAAAATACTGCTGCATCTTCAATTAAACGTCAAACAATTAACAAGTTTAATTCATCTGCAGCAACTGGCAAGTTATTGGCAGGACAAAGCTTCACCCTTCTTCATTCTGAAGCAGTTCAGTATTTTATCCAACCTGCCACTAAAAGCAAAAACACAGAAATTAATATTAGCTACTTTTTACACGTAAGGCCATTATTCAATTTCTCACCTGCGAGCATAACCTTGTTTTATTCCAATCCCCATCCCACCTTTCCAAACCACTTTCAGATGATGAAAAATCTTCCTTAAATATAGCATTTTGAAGAAGAACAAATATATGTAGTAATATATGTAAAGAAAGCAAGTGCATTTTCAGATACAAGGAGAAGTTGTTGTACAAAAGAAGGGAAGATTTATACAGCAATTACAATGATCACATTTAAAATAAAGTCTGCATGAATCCATCACACTTATATCCTGATGTTAGTCTAGCTATTTCAATTTTAAATGGAATTTCTATCCAAAGAAGATGGGAACGCTTCAGAACTGCCCTTCCATCGCCCTGACAGGCTCGCACTCAATGCTGGTGAAAATTCTCAGTCATGCAGGTAGAGTTGTCTGTAAGTTGAGCCATGGCAAATGGACTTTTCTTTTTTGGCTTGAAATGTCTGTTAGTCTGAAGAGGTGACTTGGGTAAGGAGCAAAACGTTTCAAACAAATAAATAAAAAAAGGAATTGCCATAACTCAACTTACAGACATCTCTACCTCGAGGCTCTATCTCAAATCTATACACAAGGAAAAAAAGCAATGATCTTGACAAAAAAATTGATTAAGCCATCATATACTGTGAACATGGGAGCAAATGTGTGAACAGAGCTTAAGGGATCTATCTGTCCAAGCGATTTGTCTGGCTCAAATGCTAAAATTTATCCTAAAGTTTCAATACACAAAGAGACACTCAAAAGATCCATAAGAGTGACTGATATCAACCCAGGTACATTGACACATTTTATGAGATACTGAGAAAAAAAAGTCAGAAGAAAGAGCCTTCCATTAGACTAGCGATATAAGAAATAGGCTGGAAAAGCCTAGCCTTTGATCTTATCCATCCAAATTTGATTCTTCAATTCTTACCCTTAGATTGCCTCTTTCTGGTTCGTGGCTTCCAGATTCAAGACGTTTCTCCATTTCTTCTTGTTTTCGTTTTTTTTGTTCCACAGAAGAGAGATTCTTAATACCACGAGACGCAGCCTTTGGAAAAGAAACAACAGGGGACATTATTACATTACATCCCACTTTTCTACAATCATAATTAAAATAAATTTAGTTCTCTATTCTGTATTCCATATAGAATTCCAACATATCTGTATTAAATTTACATACTTATTTAGAAGAGTGATAACATATAAGTGTAAAAGCATGGATTTCAACAAAAAAAAAATCCTATAAGAAAAAAGGCTTTTGGAAGCGTTTCCCTCACACAAACCCCAGAAACGAGGAGGGCCAGGAAGCATATTTTGAAGCCTCCTTGAGAAGCAATTCTCAATAGGGTTTTTCTTCCCCAACAAATGGCTATTTTATTATTTTTATTTATTCATTAAATGGATGTGCCATCCATTTCACTGATCAGGTGATTCTTATAAAATATGGATGAGAAAATATGCTATAGATATTCTTCCTTTGATAAATGGGATTATTGCTACTTATCGGCAGTCCATCAATCAGTTACAACTGTCTTACGCATGCTATTCCTGTTCACATTCTCTAATGCAGATGTTAAAAAGCAACTGACTGGAATTTGACACCTGCTAAAAAGCAAAGGCAAAACTTGTCATTCCATTGAAGAATTGGAAAAAAAACAACACCCACTGCACTTCCATATTAAAAAAGAAAAACTGAAATTGCCTGTTAGCTGTTGCTTCTGCTTGCAGTTATTTCTTTTCTACAGAATTGAACCTATCTATTCAAGTCTAGCATAGAACAGAAGAGAATGAAGCAGGAACAAACATGTTCTTATTTTAAAAGAAGGGGTCTAGGACTTGTAATCATGGAGAGGATATCCACATTTTCTTTGCCCTATCTAAATCTACAATGTCTGCAAAAGACTAGCTAGTTTTCCCTTTTACTTTGGGGGATAATCCCCATTTGCCACTCATTTTTTAAGCTAACTACAAACTCAGCTGTGATAGTTTTTGTGGAAAAAAATACCCTAAAATACTTTAAATTCACAGAAGAGGCATGAAATACCAGGCAGAAATTAAGATTATTTTTCCGGAATATGTCAGGAAATACTCGAAAAAGCTGTCTTAACTTGCATTTATTCCCCCTCCCCATCTTATGCCAAAACTAAATGTGTGATTTTAAAAAAATTCATGATTTTGCTATTATTTTACAGGCTCTCTCCTTTGCTACAAAGATAATTTTTGTAATAATGGTGACGGCAGGGAGGGATTTGCACCAGAAAAATGTATATAGCAGTGTTGAGAGCATCAATTGGAAGACGTCCCACCATAAAGAAATGGATTGGTTCAAGCAAAGAGTCATTTTAAGTATTACCTTTTTGGGCAACATTCAAATACTAACTAGGGCAAAGTTTTTGGGCAGTGTCTTCACTGACGCCTGCACATTTAATCTTGAGATTCTCAACCCCATTCCTTTCCATATGTACTGGGATAATAAATTTGAGCTACTTCTGTTACCTCTTCTTGTGTTTCTTCAAGGACACCATTGATATTTGGATTGTTTTAGACATAAGAGCTTGTTAATCTGCAGGTCTTGCTCTATAAATTACAGCTCCCCTAACACCATTGCAAACATTATCTCACTTCTTACTACAAATATCCATGATCTTACTACTCCTCATTAATAAGCACTGGGTACTTATTCTTTTGAAAGTTAGTTGCAGTGCTGAATTTCAGTATAACCTAAGACAAACTCCACTGTGAATAGAATAATAATGACCAGCTTGCACATTCTTAAGAGATGCTGTTTCCAGGAAAGATCTTTCTAATGTTCACATTCATTATACGAGAAGGTTTTCTTTTAATCTATTGCTCTTCCAAATATCCAATTACCTCCATTTGTCTTTTTTCTGCTGCTTCTGCAAGTTGCTGCCTTCTAATTTCCTGAAGAAAAGATATAAAAATAATTACAAAGGTATTTCACATCACCTATGCAGAGGTAAAAGGCGTAATTTTCTAAGTGTTTGCCAAATATGTTAGAACCTTTCAAAATCCAAGAAATGGGCATTCATTTTTCTAAAATGCCAGTTCTGCTCATTTTATTTAATGTTAACAAAGAGAATTGCCAGAGAGAAATCATGAGTCACCATAAGGAGCCATGTACTTCCACCGCTGGTGGTTCTCTTATCCACATAAAACCAAGCAGAAACATTTCACAGGTCATTAAACTACACATATGAAAGACTAAACGGTGCTTCCAGCTGAATAAGTGAAAAACCCTTTTTGTTAGCGACTTTTAATATTGAGTTTGTTTCTTCTGTTTTGGACCAATCAAAATTCCAGCCAAGTCAGAAATCAAATAAACCAGCTTATCTCATCTTCAATTTTAAGTATGTACCATTGGGAATTAAATTTGCATATAAAAAGGCAGATTTTCTGATAGTATTTATTTTATTAATTTATTAAATTTACATGATGCTCATCTCACTGTTACAATGATTTGGGTGGCTTTCAATATGGATCTTGCAAGAATATTTATCATCTACATTACAATCTTAATGTGGTTGTTCTTGGTAATAGGATATAGGGTTGAATTTTGGTGACTTTCCTTGCTAACTTTTGTGTATTGTACATTTAAGAAGAATAATGTGGAAGATTATAAGCATGTTTGGTTGACGAAACTTTCACTCTATCATGGGAAAAAATGTTTTTGGATCCCTTTGAGATATTCCCAGAATGCCTCTGGCCCCCAAATAGCTCCCATAAAATATCTTAGAAGATTCAAATGATGGCTGCAACTCCATATTGTGCAGCTGTGCCTGCCTGCCACAAGAAAGAGGGTTAATGCACAGCATTTTGTGGCAAGGACAGATAAAAGAAGATCACAAATAGCTTTCTAGCAAATTACTGCTTATTTCAGTGAATATATTTATTTATTTATAATTTCAACTTCCACAGCTGGTCTCTTATATACAACTCTGGATGGCTTTCAATGATTAAAAACAATAACATAAAAAATATAGAGGTGGCTACAACAGAGTGGGTAGGGTAGAAGCCAAACAATTATCAACAACATGCAATGTATGCATGTGCCCTGTACATACAGCCCGCCCCCACTGTGGAAAAAGCTGAGACTTTAGGAGTCTGCTGAAGTCAGACAGGGCCAGAATTTTGCAAACTTTGGGATAAATACTATTCTAGAGGGCAGAGGCAGTCAATAAAGATGCAACCTGAAGCTTTCCAATTTAGCTGTAATTTTTCAGATGGGTAGAATAACTTGAGGCAGAAAAATCTTGCAAATATTCAGGCTCCATGCTATGAAGGGCTTTTAATTGGTTGGATCCCATGACAATTCTTTTCTGAATAGGCTGAATAGCTCTTCATACCATTTTGTGAGACAGCCCACAGCATGTTCTCGAACACATGTTGACTCCAAACCTCTAAACTTTTGGATCTTGTGAATTAAAGAAAAACTAGTTAGTCGACTCTTCTGAAATAAGGAAGTTATTGTGTGAGGATCTTTCAGTAAGCTGGAGGTGCATTAACTCTCCTTGAATTCAGATGCCTATCTGGCATCTCCTCAGTTTTTTCAATCAAACCTCCAATGCTATGCACACCAACTATGGAATAAAATCCAATCACAGAAAATGAAGGACTTGCTTTTGTTTGTAGCTTAGGTTTTATTAACTCTCCATCAAAGCCAGCTGCACACACCAGAGTATTCTCATGCCACTCCAAACACTTCATAAAGAATGACATTCCTACCCAGATCATTTCCTTTATAAAGAAATCTGAAAGCTATAACCAAGCAATTATTTGACATTCCCGGGGAATAAATCAAATGTTTTGAAAACAACAGGCTTTTTCCAGCAGGGCTTATGCATCCTACCTTTTATTCTTCCTTTGGTGCTTTTGAAAGATGGCACTGTCATTGTTATATATATTTTTTGTGTTTATGTAGCATAGATCACTGGCACTGCAATTTTGAGACCTTTGGGTACACACTGATCTGGCTCGTCCAGTGTGCAAAGAAAAGATAAGTAAATAATAAAACAGACATGCCTTAACTTGAAAAGAAACAACTGATCCTGAACTGAACCGTTTACTTTGGACCACAAAGCACATAGTGGTTTTTTAATATTACAAGGCGGAACCTGGGAGTAAGTACACTCAACAGGGCTTGGTTTTTGGAGAGACCCTGGAAAAGACCGGACTCTGCTCGTACTTCAAAGCTGTTTTTTTTTTAAAAAAAAAAAACGTAATCTAAGAATTAATAAACAAAGGGGGGCGGGAGAAGCTCGGCGAAGATTTAAAGGCAATTTAGGGATGCTGCCTGAAGGAGGGTTAAAAAAAATCAATCTGAAATTTTTCGGAAGCCGGACGCCGAACGACATCTGGGATTGCCCAGAGAAGCCAAAAGGGAGAAGGAGAAACCCCCAGCCGTCACGGAACGAGTTTCGGCAGCCCGATCTCGCCCCACTTACTGGGTCCGGCGTCTCCACTACTTGGTCGGCAGCTCCCCCCAGGCAGGGAAGACACAACCCCATCCCGACCCGCCTGGAACACTCTGGGCCAAGCGGCGACTCCAAATGCGAGCCCCGCCCCGCCTTCCTTTGACCAGCGGGCCTCCTCGCAAGCTACCCGCCGCCAGGCTGTTTTCCTGTGCAAACCGCGGACGGCGCCACCTGCCGCTCCGGAGCCAGTGGGAAGGAGGCGGGGAAAACATTGGCACGATCCTGGGAGAGAGCAGAGTCCCGTCTGCATTGGATTCGGCAAGCAGGAGAGGAGGAGGGAGCGCAAAACTATCAAAACTTCTGCCGCCGCGGCGTTAGCAGTTGGGCCTGCTGTTGCCTGGGCGTCTCCGTTAGTTGTTTCTCAGGCCACAGCAAATGCATCTCTTTAGCAAAGGCGGCAGGCCGATCCTGCGAGGCTCTCCGGGCTCTGAGTGCAAGGAGGATTGCAATCGTTACCCATAAGTAAAGCTAACTGAAGCCAATATGACTTCTTCCTTCTGATTGGGTTGAATCGTTAAGCTGGTGTGGACCCTCTGGACCCTATGCTGGCTTGCTGGGCGCTGCCCTCATTGCCTGGCACCACTTCAGGTTATTCGTGGAGTCCCCGATACTACTTCCCAGTAAGAAAGACAGTCACCAGTTCCTCTTCCGAAGGGAAGGTGGCAAATTTTGGCAGATGCTGAGATGCTAGTCTTTTTATCTATGTATTCCCAAGGGTATCTTGGCTACTTTATCAAGGAAAGCTCTTTTGAATCAGAGTCTGATTTGCAAGGTGGTAGTGATAAAATAAGATCAGATAACTTTATTGTTGGCCCACATTAAAAATGAAATGCTGTTGCCTGCTCTCAACACCTAACATCAGGGTGATCCTTCCTGACCTTGTGGCTCCTGCTGGAAGAGCAGGCGGCAGCCATGATCAGAGGAATCTTTGCACTAATTCATCTTGTGTTTCAATGGTACCCTTTCCTGGCAGCCATGCTCACGGTTACTCATGCTTTAGTCACCTGGATTGGATGACTTCAGTGTGCTCTAGATGAATACCACCTAGACCATCTGGGAGGTGCAACTTCCAGAATATAAAAAAATATACAAGTTTGGGTGACTCACAGTTTGTCCACATTACACTGTGGTTTTCATGGGTGATGCTGTCATCCCCCATTTGCTTCTGGGTACAATCAAGGTGCTTGTTATCAGCTGTAATACCCTACATGGCACAAGACTAGGCTCTTTGTGGAACCACCTCTTCCTGAGGATATCTTCCTATTCGACTGGGTGAACACACTCCAGATCTCTTCCCTTACACTTTGTAATGTGGTGAGATCTCAAAAATGTGCTTTCTCCATAGTTAATCCAGCTCACTGGAATAGCCTCCCGCCTAAAATTTGAGGGCGGGGAAGAGGAGTTTATACTTTCAGCCTTCCAGAAGTGGGTAAAGATTTGATTCTTCTCCCACCATTGGAGTAAAATGGAGTTGAGTCAGGGGGTCAACATTTGGTGATTTGGTGCCTGGTGGGAAGAATATAATCTGGGTATAGTCTGCTTTGATTAGTTATTATGAGTCAGAGGTGGTATTCAGCAGGTTCTAACCAGTTCTAGAGAACTGGTAGCAGAAGTTTTGAGTAGTTCGGAGAACCGGCAAATGCCACCTCTGACTGGCCCTGTCCCCATCTATTCTCTGCCTCCCGAGTCCCAGCTGATGAGCTGGGTCTTCTTTTGTTGTCCTATACAGGAGAACGTAGCTGGAAAGCAGGTTGGGGTGGGAAGGAAATTGGGATTTTGCAGTAACCTTCCCCTGCCACACCTACCAAGCCACACCATGCCCCCAAGCCCCGCCCACAGAACCAGTAGTAAAAAAATTTGAATCCCACCACTGCTATGAGTTCCTTGATCACTCTATGAGATTATTATATAAGTTCTATTAGAGCTGTGGTTAGAATGCAATATTGCAGGCTACTTCTGCTGACTGCTGATTGCCAGCAGTTTGGCAGATCGAATCTAACCAGGCTCAAGGTTGACTCAGCTTTCTATCCTTCCAAGGTCAGTAAAATGAGGACCCAGATTGTTGGGGGCAATATGCTGACTCTGTAAATTGTTTAGGGAGAGCTGTAAAACACTGTGAAGCGATATATAAGTCTAAGTGCTATTGCTATGAATAAATAAACAAATTTTCCCTTCATTTATTTATTTTATTAAAAGTGTAGCTGGCTTTTCTGTGTACAGAAACACCCAAGACAGCTTAGAATTTTTTAAAAAAGAGATTGTCATAAAAGCTGTTACAATTTAAGTCAGAATAATAGTTTAAACTTCGACACAAGAAATGTGGGTTTTGCCAAAACAAACAAATAAACAACCAGGGGAGCACAGGAGCCATAGACCAGCATAGAACATTGCTTGCCACTTATTGAAAGACAGAATGTGGAAGCTTTTAAGCTATTCTTATAATTTAAGCAAATTACATCATCTCAGTAAAAGAGACCACAAATACTTCTTGCTCATTTAAAATCGATGTCATATGAATGGACAAGAGTGTAATAAGGTCTTTCAGTTGCAAGTAGAAAGTAGTAGTAATACCAGTTGGTTTTTAAGATTTCTTTCATCCTTAAATTATTAGTTGTATTGATTCAGAAATAATAGTGTGATAATGTGATGTGCAGATAAATGAAAAACTCAAAAAGTGATCTATAGGTAAAAAAGTGATCTGAAAGGAATTAATATGTCCTCTTGAGTTAATAGCACAGAAATGCCACCTGTCTCCAAGAATTCGGCTTGATAAACAATATATCTTCCTGTTGAGTTTTTTATTTAAGATAGTAACAGTTACTTGAACAGAAAAATGGCTGAGTGCCTCAATGCTTATTCAATTACCTTCATGAGGAGTATAAAAAGATTGCTTTCCCCTTGACGTGCTTTTAAATTTTAATTTGAGTGGTTTTAGAGCAAACTGGAAGTGAGAGAATGCCTCCGTAGAAATAGTAGGCAACCAGTGCTGACAGGTTAAGAACTGATATATGCCTTTAATATCCACTTCAGGGTGAGAATATTTCAATTTAGTTTCAAAGTGATCTTTAATAAATCATGTAGTGCTTTGTCAAGTCAAACCTATTTTGAAAGCTAAAGTTTAGGGAACTAAAAAATATTGCAGCAGATGTGACACAAAATCTGAAGTGTTAATAGAACGATAATAATGAAGCAAACAGAATGTTCAAATTATTATCCATTTCATCATAATAACTCCCAATACCCATGCCTGGATTCCATATGCAAATATTGCATTTGCAATTAACTATATAATATAGCAACTGTATATATTTTTCTCATATAATACAGGTAGTCCTTGACTTATGACCACAGTTAAACCCAACATTTCTATTGGTAAGCAAAACAGTTCAGAGAGTTTGATTTGATGAACTTTCTTGGGTTAAGAAAGTTGTGTTAAATGAATCACTGCAATTGTTAAGTTAGTAAAATGGTTAAGTGAATCTGCCCCCCCCCATTGAATTTACTTGTTAGAGGGTCACAAAAAATAATCACATGGCTCCAGGACACTGCAATCATCATAAATATAAGCCAATGGCCAAGTGTCTTAATTTTCATCACATGACCATGGAGATGCTGCAAGAGTTGTAAATGTGAAAAATGGTCATAAATCACATTTTTTCAGTGCTGTTGTAACATTAAAAGGTCACTAAAGAAACTTGTAACTCAAGGACTACCTGTAGTAAGGCAGTGGTACCAAGCAACATGATCATGCTTTAGTTTCACAAATGATTGGACTGTTCAATCCACTCAGTTCACAAACTGTTTCGTAAAAGAAAACCAAAGTCATGTTCTATTTCAGGGTGTCAAACTCAATGCTTGTGGGCCAAATCCAGCCTGTGCGATGCTTAGATATGGCCCACAGGGATGCCCTGGAAACAGTGAAGGACTGGCCCGCAGTGCCTTTGCCAGCAAAAATGGAGCTGGGGAGGCCACACCTGGTCTGGCCCCTGTTTTTGGCCTCAATGGCATCCTGCAGCCCTCTGCCAATGAAAATGGAGCCCAGGCAGGCCGCTTACAGTCTCCCTGAGTTCCATTTTTGCTGGCAGAAGGCTGTAGGAGGCCATTGTGGCCAAAAACGGAGCCTCGATGAGTAATATTGAATTGGCCACTCCCCTCAACCCCCGAGATCAAACACAAATACAGCCCTCAATGAAATCATGTTTGACACCCCTGTTCTAGTTTGACCATTTCAGTTATGCACTAGATGTGTTTCATATGATCAGATAATTCCCAAGGCTCTGTGAACTGTACATAAGCCTTATTAAATGTATATATATTTTAAATCAGTAAGGTATCTAGTTTTGTTTTCTTTCACTGCACAGGGAAATCAAAATTTAAAGCCAAGTGTGTTTGACTAAATTCACTAAGTTGTTTACTAATTCCTCAGTTTAAATAAACCACCCCTGAGTATTTATTCACCTTAACTATAGTTAAGATACAAAAATATTGTAAAGCAAGTATGCTGATTCATGGACCTGTAAACTTTTGTAGTTTGTTTTTGAGTTTGAATGGAAAGATTGGGAAACATCTTCCTTTTAAAACTTAATTTAAATACATGCAGATTTTATTATTATTATTAAGGCCCATTCTCATTACATAGCTGTGCTATTTCAGAATGGTTGTGGTTTTCTGATTCCTTTCTGAACCAAATAAAATGAGACTCTAATGTGATTTCCATATATCGGTTTAGCACACCCACTGTGATTATTTAATGATGGGTTATGGATTAATGTGTTGTATAATTATAGCTTCTTGGCATTTCTCATGATTTTCTTTTTGCTATTCTTTATTCTTTTCCTTTTTTCCTTCTACTCTGAACAATTGTTCATCTTCAGCTGCCTCCCCCGTTGAATTACTGTCTTCCCAAATTTGTGCATACTGATTAATTTACTCACAATCTCCTTTCTTCTTTCTCTTGGCTTTTCAACTTCAACTTATCTAGCAATCCTAAATCTAAGCAAGATAGGCAGCATATGAAATAAATAAAATAAATAAATAAATAAATAAAATAAATAAATAAATAAAATAAATAAAATAAATAAAATAAATAAAATATACGAATATAGTTAGTATTTGTACATGGGAAAGGTAATTGCCCATACACATT